AAGAACGCTGCAATTTACCTGCATGTCAGCTTGAGGTACAGATTTGAAAATAATCATAAATGACAAAGTAATTATTGACTTCATAAAACTATTCGCTAGTGGCCAAAAATACACTCCTTTGGTTACAGGTGATATTTTAAGACAAATATATACCTCAGATTGCTTGTTTGAAATTAAAAAAAAATTGCAGCCACGCTAGTCCTTCGTGGGTAAGATTGGACACCCCTGCTCTAATGGGTCAAGAGGACACACACCATGGCAGCATAATCTCCCTCCAGAGCATAACAGAGCCACCCGCCCCCCTCACTGCAGTGGTCAGGCATTCGGGCCTGTACCACCTTCTTGGTGTACGCACTCTCCCACTTGTGATGAACATGGTGATGGGTTATTAATGTGACCAGGTCATTTTTTTCCATACTTATGTAGAGCACAGCATGTGTTTCTTCACCACAGAACCACAATTTCCAACCTCATTTACTGTCTTATCTTTCCCATAGATGTAAATGTCACTGTTCCTATTGAAACACTAGCCAGATGAGCAGTCAGATTCAGTCAGATCTTTTCCTCTCGCCATCTTCATCCGAAATTGATGTCAACTGGGACTGCTCAGCATCTTAATACATGCCACAGAGCATGAGTGTTAATTATGTAATTGTATCATGCAGTACACCTGATCTGCAGTTTCTTCATGCATATCGCTGCTGTCAGACCAAAATCTCATATCTCCAAAATGATAACTTTACAGGAGAAGGAAAAAACATAATTTACTTTTAATGTAAGTCAATGGAACCAGACATTTTTACAAGTAATTCTGGGCAATTTCTCTTGGTCCATTCATCTTGAAATTACACACAATATAAAGGACAGTAGATGTTTTCAAATTATGTCAAAAACTGGAGATACAAGGTTTTGGTCTGACAGCAGCGATGTATTCAGTCTTTCCTTTAATGTGTCATCTGTCTCTAGATATGAGGCCTGAACATGATCACTGTTGAGGATAGTAAATTGAAAAGGTTCTTGTTTATACATTTTAAGAAATGAAAAGAGTCTAATTTCCACAGCAAAATGAACAGGTAAAATAGAGCATTTTTACAGTACAATGTCTGGTTTGTTTCAACAGGTACCAAAGGATATTCCTATAAATTATCGGCTTCATCTTAAACAGGTGCTTCCAGTCAAGAACCTCAAACCAGCTGTGATCAAAGTTTATGATTACTACCAAACAAGTAAGATTTTCCTGGGCTTTATGCTTCACTATTCAGGTAATTGTATTGCTTTTATTTACTGAAATTCAGTACCTCTTTCATTTAGGTGACCAGTCTGAGACAGAGTACTCCTCCCCCTGTGTGTGAGAATTCAGATCTGCAGCCTCACAGTATGAGACACAGAAAACACTGACACTGTCTATATATCTTTTTTTTCTGTTCTCAAGAGAAAACAGAATGACTATTTTTGATCAATAAATATGGATGTCAAGCAACTCGTGCTGCTTTCTTGTTGTAATCAGTGAAATAAAAGGACACAATTAAGATCCAAAAACAGATTAATACAAACTCTAGGCCAAAAACCCCAGAAAACAATACAAATAGTCTAAAATATAGATATTCCAAATAGTCCAAGGTAACTAAAAAATATATAAACAATGAATACACAAAACAAGACCCAATGTGGAAAGGTAACAGGAAAGAGCTCTGAAGGTGAGGAGGGGAGCCCCCAAGCAGTGATGTAACAGTTATACACAATTACAAGTTGCCCCCAAGCACTGATGTAACAGTTATACACAATTACAACTTGATCTCTTTTCAGAGATTTGGACTCTGTTTTGATGACTAGATAAAATCATAATAGACTTTCAACTTGACTTGGATTTAGCTCTGACTCTGACATTGACTTGAAGCTAGATATTAGAAACAAGCAATCAGTAACATCAATATGCTTCATTTCAACACAAACTCCAGTCTTACTGAAGAAACTTACCAGGCTAACTCACCATTTTCCTCATGGCAGTTAAACAAAAGAAACAGAGCTTGGCTTGAGTTTACATTTGTTGTGAATGTTAATCATGTTGGACAATTTAACTGTACAAAAACAAAGTTAATTATATTAATCTTTATCAATTAGTTTTCTTTTAATAATTTTTTTTTAATGTGTAACATTAGTCCATGTCCTTAATCAATCCTGATATTTTGTCTGATTTTAGAACATTCAGTCACACTTTATGTTTTACACACTTTATACACTTTATACTGTCTCAGAAACGCAGTGCTGCAGTTTTAGTTAGCATGCTGCATCAGCTCTGCTGGACTAGAACAAGAAGCTGGCAAATAAGAAGCCGACTATGGCTTCATCAGAGAACACAACTAAATTTTTTATAAATAAAGTTTCTTTGAGTGTCTCCATACCTAAGAAACTCCCTTTCCACAGAATTTAGTAGCATTTTTACCAAAATACACAGTACTGTGAAAAAGTATAATTTCTTCTATTTTTGCTAATTTGTCACACTTAAATATTTCAGATCATAAAACTAATTCTAATATAAGATATAGGTAACACGAGTAAACAAAAAATGCAGCTTTTCAAAGATAATTTTATTTATTGAAGATAAGGATTTATTTTTAAAAAAATCACCCATGTGAAAAAGTAATTGCCCCCTAAAACCCAATAATGGGTTGTACCACCCTTGGCAGTAACAACTGCATTCAAACATCTGCGATAACTTGCGATGAGTCTTTTACATCGCTGTGGAGGGATTTTGGCCCACTCTTTACAGAATTGTTTTAATTTGGCTACATTGGAGGGTTTTCGAGCATGAACTGCTCATTTAAGGTCTTCCCACAACATCTCAATGGGATTCAAGTCTGGAATTTGACTCAGCCACTCCAAAACCTCAATTTTGTTTGTTTTGAGCCATTCAGAGGTGAACTTGCTTTTGTGCTTCAAATCAATGTCCTGCTGCATAACCCAACTGTGCTTGAGGTTTAGGTCATGAACAGACAGGCAGATGTTCTCCTTTGGCTTTTCCTGACAGAGAGCAGAGTTCAAGGTTCCAACAGTTGTGGCAAGTCATCCAGGTCCTGAAGAACCAAAGCAGCCCCAGACAATCACACTAGCACCACCATGTTGGTATGACGTTCTTATGGTGGAATGCAGCTTTATGCCAGATGTAACGGGACCCATGTTTTCCAAATAAGTTTCACCTTTGACTCATCAGTCCACAAAATATTATCCCAAAAATCTTGGGGGTCATCTTGATGGTTTTTGGCAAGTGTGAGATGAGCCTTTGTGTTTTTTTGGTCAGCAGTGGTTTGCGCCTTGCAACTCTCCCATGGATGCCATTTTTGCCCAGTGTCTTTCTTATGGTGGTATCATTTACATTGACCTTAACTGAGACAAGGGAGGCCTGCAGTTCTTTAGATGTTCATCTGAGTTCTTTTGTGACCTCCTGGATGAATCGTTGATGTGCTATTGGTGAAATTTTGGTAGGCTGGCCACTAGGAAGATTCACCACTGTTTTCTCCATTTGTGGGTAATGGCTCTCACTGTGGTTTGCTGGAGTCCCAGACATTTAGCAATGGCTTTGTAACCCTTTCCAGAGTGGTTGATTTCAATGACTTGGAAATTGTTTCACACTTGTATTTCAATCTCTTTTGAATGTGGCACAATGTGCTGCTTTTTGAGACCTTCTAGCCTGCTTCACATTGCCAGACAAGTTCTGTGTAAGTAAGGCAGATGGGTCTACAGCCTCAATACTAATATAAACATTCACAACAAAGTGACATTCATCAAGTATGTTGAAAATGTATTTATTAAAAGAGTACAAATAAATCCCTATTTCCCTACATGAAACCCATGTACAGTAAATATGCACATATATAAATATAAAGGTCTCAGTCTCTGTCATTTGATTGCTTAACAATGCAGGAATGGATCACACTCACAAACATTGATACAGTGGAAGAAATGGGTTACAGGAACATCTGACTGTCCTATCGATTGTTCTTGGCTGCTGCTTTTGTCTGAAATCCCTGCACTGCTGTGTCTGATCCACTCATATAAGCACAACATGCCACCAACATGTCAGTGTCACTGCAGTGCTGAGAATGATCCCCCACCCAAATAATACCTGCTTTTTGGTGGTCCTGAGGGGGTCCTGACCACTGAAGAACAGGGTAAAAGGGGGCTAACAAAGTATGCAGAGAAACAGATGGACTACAGTCTGTAATTGTAGATCAACAAAGTGCACCAATATGGTAAGCCAATAAATGGACAATGAGAATAGATACAATGAGGTGTTCATAATAAAGTGCTCAGTGAGTGTATTTTTTCAGATGTATAATTTCAAATAAATCTATTTTAGATGCTAAAGTTAACCTATTTTTATATGTTGACAGAGGCTATTCTAGGCCCTTTCACATCATCATAAGAATAATATTTTAACAACCAAAGCAAGCTTGAAATGTATCAAAAATACATATATGAACCTTTTTTCAATTTTGCTTTCTAACATTAACCCCAACCCAGCAAAAACAGTTCTAGGTGTTCACTTTTGAACTTCTATAATAGCTTCATATTCAGATGTTTTTGTTTTAATTTTTTGTTCCAAATGAAGTGGAGCAGCAGGTACATTCTGGTACTAGATGTACAGGCTTCTGTAACTGCTGCACCATTTCAGCTGGAAGGGGAAATTTACATAAGAAGCCAACTTCAGCTTCCTCAAATGTTTCAAGTTATTTGTCTCATACATCCATCCATCTGATACACCAATACATCCATCAGTCAAATACTGCTGGAAGGCCCTGAAACCGAGTCAGTGGTCTTTTTTGGCAGTATGGGAGGAAACAGGAAGGCAATCCTTACTTTCCATGTTAGGCTAAGGCTAACCTCAAAAGACTGGTCATTCTTTTATGTCCACTCAACCACTTGAGGAAAACACCAGTACAATGGGGGTCTCCAGGGGCGCTTTAACCTGCTTGTAGGCCCTGGGGCTACAGGTGGTCCTGAAATCTGTAAATATACCCTTATGGGGGAAAAAAAGTATACTAAAGTAGTTTTAACAAAATAACATGCTTAAGTTATGCAGTAAGTACTACACTGGAACAGCTAATGTGTACTTGATATATATGTAGGTCATGCTTTATGTATACTAGGTATACTAGTCATGTGCTATTTTTGGCACTCTTAGGGTATAATTTAAGTATACTAGTCTGCGCTGCCAAACTGAACTTTAAAAACACATTTGAACTGTGCTAAAGTATGTAGTGTACATGTAGTGTTCTCCTGGCACTCGCCAAACCCAGACTCGTCCATCAGACTGCCAGATACAGCAGTGTGATTCATCACTCAACAGATTATGTTTTCACTGCTTCAGAGTCCAGTGGCGACGTGCTTTACACCACTCTCCCCCCGGTGCACTGCGCATTTTAATCTTAGACTTGTGTGAAGCTGCTCAGCCATGGAAACCCATTTTGTAAAGCTTCTAACTCGCAGTTCTTTTGCTGATATTGCTTCCAGAAGAAATATGGAACTCTTTGGTGAGTGATTCAACAGAGTATAGGCACTGTGCGCTTCAGCACTCTGTGGCCCCACTCTGTGAGTTTGCCTGGTCTACCGCTTTGTGGCTAAGCTGTTTTTACTCCTAGGTGCTTCCATTTCATAATAGTAGCACTTACTGTTGACTGGGACAGATCTAGCAGACAGAAATTTCACAAACTGACTTTTGGCAGAGGTGGTGTCAGGACCAACAGCTATTTTCTTCCTTGCCCAAACCCCGACATATGATGGTTTTAAAATCTAAACTATTTTGTGCTGTGGTTTTGTTCTAATTATTGTCTTAATCACTTACGAAAGATAAACAAAAATAAAATAAACAAAAACAAAAAGGGTATTCAATCAAAAATAAAGAAAGTAGAATAAAAGCCTTAATAAAAGCCACTGAGTTCTTGTGGAAGGGAGAAAAAGGCTTCTTCTTTATTTCAGCATCAGGTGGCACAGGGTCTCGAGACACCCAACTGCGCAAATACAGTGTTCCAAACAACACTTTATATACCATTTATCTGGGGTAGTTTGATATCCCCCCACCTTACTTCTCAAATTTTGATATTAGCTCATTCTCTAATAGGTGCATCTCTTCGTCCATCAATTTGGCCATCGCATGATGAGCTCACTCCTCAAAACTGGCTTCAACAGGTTTTTACCAGTCTGCTCTACCTTTCAAGGTCAACTTGCCCCTCTCTTCACTGGGTCAGTAGGTACACACAGGCCTGTCTGTGAACCCAGCTGCAGGTGAGCATAGCTGCATAAGGCACGGCAAATCCGGGTCTTCCTGGTTATAAAGCTCCTCAGAGCTACTATACAGGCTCTTTAAGTCCCACATACCAGGTGTCCCAAGAAAGTCAATAAGCGCAAAAAGCCACAATTGGACCATTCCAGTCTCAGCTCTCAACCCCAAAGAGGCAACTGGTGTCTTGAACCCAACTTCTTAGATGTCAGTAGCCAGCATCAGCCTGAAAGCAAACCAGACCCTTGAAATAGTTAACAAACATATTTACTTGCCAATGTATTATAACATTTCCCAAAACACAAACTAATGTCACTAAAGGATAGAATGAAACACCAAAGTATAAAGAAAACTTAAAAAAAGAACACATGGATTAATAGGCCATCACTCAGTCCTAATTAATTCCTTGAGCTGGTGCAACACGCCAAGTCACATGAAAGTTGTTACTAGCTGTAGGAGTTTCAACTTATAACACAGGAAAATATGCCATAATATTCCCCACAATTTTGATAATCATGCTGCGTACCAAAGGTGTAACACAACACTCCAAAAATGTCTGCTACAGGGTTAGATCCTACAGTAAAGCCTATGTCAGAGGTAACATTCCCTTTATTGTTTATTTGAATAGTGGCATTTAACTTTCTATCATATCTAATAGCAAAGCTATTAATCTCATTACTTCTTCTAGACAAAAACAAAAAGTATCATTTAATCTACCATCCTTAATTACCAGAGGTGGAGCTGTAAATGATTTGCTCATAGCTGTACAACTGTCGAAACCCTTGTTTCTAAAAACCTTTAGGCTTAAACTATCCAGTAAACAGAGTAAAGGCAGATTGTAACACTTTCCCAACACTCTTCTAATCCTCCTATAGCCACTATAGTTGGTACATGTTTGGAATGGCAAGTTATAAAATCTTCATGTTGATTTCAGCAGTATAGCGTAAGTAATGATACAATATATTTTGGGAAGCATATTCTGTGACAACCATCCCTTTTTCTTCAGATTAGTCTCATCTAATGTGTCTTCTATAACTTTTTGTCCTATTTTAATCATCTCATGTGCCTTCCGTTTTTTAACAACAACTCCTTTGGAATTATTTCTATTAATAGTTTTATGACAGATGATTGGTTCACACTTATATCCTTGACAGAGGACTAACTCACACTTTGCTCCTACTGTTATTCTTATTGAAACTTTACATCGATCAGCTTTTAAAATCCCTATTCCTCTTATTTTCCCTTTAATGTCTTTTACATATGCTTTGGTACCCGTGCTCCTATATGTTACATAGGAATCACCTGCTGGCAGTGAGTGATTATTACTAAGGAGTAGCAAAAGAGATAACACACATTATAGCCCGTTGTTTTTCCTGCTAGGTGTAACTCTTGGTCCAACACAATTAGGCTCTTGTGTACAATTGGAAATACCTGGAAACCATTGACAACAGCAAGACTGATTTGCATGTCCCTTTTGTCTCTGTCCATCCATGCAACACCTTGAACTCATTCGGTGTCCCACGCAATCCTTGGCAAACTTTTTGGCTGGTAATTGGACAGTACTGTTCACAGTGCATGCCATTAGTCAAGTTCCAGGTTTGGCACGCAAGAAAGTATTCCGGTTCTGCTGTTTTCATCCGCTCATGAGAGTTCTGGATCTGATTGTGTGCACGTGAGTCATTTTTCAGACACTGTGGAGGGTTGTATATCATGTAGAACATGCACACTGTCAGTCCCAGCAGAACACAAGTGATGAAAAAAGCAAATGACAACAGCAAGAGGTTGACGATTGTGTTTTCATGTTTCCTCACTTCAGTCATCCATGTCCGAGTCCACATCATCGCCGTCCGATAGTGCTGGTGGTGTCTCTCAGTGGGCTTGGGCTCTTGCTCTTGGTCTGGAAGTTCCACCTGGTCCAGGCTCTTGGGAGTCATCATCCTTGTGGATGTGTTCTTCTTGTTGTGCTGGTGGTTGTTCAGTCACTGGTCTCAGCGCAGGCGCTGCTCTGGAACAATGGTTTAGATGGACCCACACCTTTTGTCCTTCCACTTTAACTGCAGTTGGAGTTGCTAGGACCACCTTGGAAGGACCCACACGTCTTGGTTCCGTCCAGCCTCTTTTGAAGACCCTTATGTAGACAGTCTCTGGGCAGCACTTGTTTGAGCTGATCTCTAATATCTAACTTTCTTCCCTCAGTGGCACCTTTCACATCATTGAAGATTTCTCTACGGATTTTAGTCAAACATTTTACATATTCGTGTAACTCAGCTTGTAATTACTCGAGCTGAGGGCCTTTAGTAGGCCGTCAGAAATATGTTACAGGCACGGGGCACCCTGTAAGCATTTCATAAGGGGTCAAATGAGTGATTCAATTGGTAACCACTCTCATACTCATTAAAGCTAATGGTAGATTGTTTAGCCAATTCAACTATGACATTTAACTATGCCCTGCGATTATGGATGATATACACATCCCAATCTACATTTAATCATTAATTAATAATTAACGTCTGTGTGATTATGTCAATAACTTTATTAACAAGGTGTTGGCCATTGTCAGAACTAATTTTATGCCATATGAAAATCTAAACATGATCCATCCACAAACAAAATTAACTCACTATTTGGTTCACTATATAAATCTTCTCTAGGTTTTAAGAAGGTTGTGGTTAACTATTCACAATGATGTGGTATACCTTCTTCAGGCGTAGCTAACCTCTCAGCTGGATTCACTTTGGAGCATCTCTGTATTGTCAAATCAGGGCTGAAGGAATTACATCATATCCTGTTTGTCTAACATTAGTCAACACAAAAGAGTTAGATGTTAATAATGTGTATCACATTGTTATGGATGTTGCTTTCTCATATGTGAATGATGCCGCTTCTAAGCCTTGATACAGTACCTTTAGCTAACAAACTGAAAGGTATTACTTCTTTCTTTTGTTATAACTTTGTTAGTGTGTTTCCCATAATATATCTACTTTCCTTTAAATTGGCATGACAAAGCATCAGCTTTGCCATTATCAGACCCCTTGTCTGTGTGTGATTACAAAGTTAAAGCGTGAAAAGAACATTGCCCACCTTGCTTCTCTGGAATTTAGTCTCTTTGATTTGTGAAGGTAATCCAGATTCCAATGACATGTCAGCACCGTAAAAGAATGGTTTGCCCCCTCTAACTAATGGTGCCATTCCTCTAATGCCAATTTAATGGTGAGCAACTCACGATTGTCCAGTAGTTGTAGTTACATTAGTCCAGGTATAAGAAGGCTGACTGATGAGAACATGTGAAACAGTGGGACTAGTTCTCAGAATTACAGGAAAGCTGATCTTTGATAGGTAGATCTCTGTGGATGCATGACACTTATTGTCGCTTCCAAAATCAACAAAACATGAAAACTTTGCAAGCAACTGTAAATGTTTAACGTTTTTGGACTTTGAATATACCACATTTCAGCTTCCCACATATGGATATATTATTGCTTATGGTACAAGTTTTCAATTCAGCCAAAAGGAATTGATTAATCATTGATGAGAATCTTCTGTGGGCTGAATGATCTTTTAAAAAGGCAGCTGAGCTTCTTGACTTGTTGTTGGTGACCAGACTTCATCATGGTTGTCAGGAGGATTCACTTTAGTAAAAGGCTACTGTTAGCCTGCTTCCTCTTTCTCTGTGTCTATGGACAAACTTCAGGACCGTAAGTAACACCAAAAGATGACATACTTTATTTTGTGTCATACTGTAATATAACCATATGGTAATAATGTTAAACATGCTTTCTTTTCAATACAATCTACCCAACTGGGTTTTTATTGTTGACTTTGAATATTTGTCCAGTTTCAGGCTCATTCCACCTTAAGCAGCAGTGGCTTAATATCATTTCACAAATACCAAAGCTGCTGTATAAAAACATATAGGCTATATGAAAAAAGTATAGGTGTATGTTGGATCTGTAAAAATGTTCACTACAAACACAGACCTAAAACAAATAATAAAATATATATTTTTTCATGTCTTACAAGCTGCATTCTAAAATGTGATGTATATTAGAACAGAAAACAATTCCAGTTGTATGTTGTATTACAACCTAAACACACAAAAGTTACTTTTTTTATTTATGTAATGTATGTTAGGATTTTGTTTTGTAGGTGATTTTATTTTAGTAGGAAATCACAATGGCTGGTTTTGCATTCATCACACCTTTTAGTATTTTCACATTTAGAACAAACTTGGAGTTCATGGCCAATTTGAACATTTTCATTAATAAGGTCTAGTAGCTTTAGATCTTTCACAGATGATATTTTATTTTATTTTTTAAAGATGTTTTATTGCATTAGTTGTGGTTCTCCAAAATGTAGGACAGATTACACAACCATTATATTGATCACACATTGCACGTAGACTGTTTGGGCTGTTTATCTTTGGGTTCACTCAGTCCACACTTTTGCAATAGTATTCACTGTTGATCAATGTAATTTTATTATAACTTTTATTACTACTAGTAGTACTAATAATAATAATTGTTGTCTTTGTTGCCTGGGAGACAGTCAATCATTTTGCAATATTTGGAGCATTTATCTACTATAACACTGGTGAATGCTTTTTCTGCAGCATATCTTTACTGTTAAAGCAAAAATATAAACATTTGAAATCATTATTATTTAATGATAAATTAAGGAGAATGGGTCTCAAATTGATTCCAAGTGTTGAATACGCTTTTCGTAGCTGTTCATGGGAACTCTCAACATGCGGCCCAAGGAGGCATCAAGGCAAGTGAAAGGGTTTGTCATTAGGCTGAAAAAAATAAACCTGACAGAGAGATAGCAGAACCTTAGGAGTGGCCAAATCAACAATCTGTTATGTTCATAAAAGGAAGGAATGAACGGGCGAGCTCAGCAACACCAAGAGGCCTGGAAAATCAGAATTCATTCCATGGTGAAGGAAAACCCATTCACGACATCTAGTCAAGTCAAGGACATTCAAGTGGAGGTTGGCATATCTTTGTCAAAGACTACAATCAAGAAAGGCCTTCATGAATGTAAATACAGAGGATTCACCCCAAGATGCAAACCATTTGTAACACTCAAGAATAGTAAGGACAGATTAGACTTTGCTAGAGAACAGCTAAAAAAAAGCCTGCTCAGTTCTGGAACAGGATTTCTTGGACACATGAAACCAAGATTAACTTGTACCAGAATGATGTTCCCAGAAGAATATGGAGAAGGAAAGGAAGGACATCATCTGTCAAACATGGTGGAGGTAGTGTTATGGCTTGGAGATGTATGGCTGCCAATGGAACTGGGTCACTTTTATGATGTGACTGCTGATAGAAGTAACATAATGAATTCTGAAGTGTATAGTGCTATACTTTCTGCTCAGAATTAGTCAAATCATGCAAAACCAATAAGACAGTGCACAGTAAAGATGGATAATGACCCAAAACATGCCGCGAATGCAACCTAAAAGTTTCTTAAGGCAAAGAAATGGAATGAGTCAGTCACCTGACCTCAACCCAACTGAACATGCTTTTCACTTATTGAAGACAAAACTGATGGCAGAAAGTGGCTGCAGTACAGCGTTTGACTGCAAAGGACATGCATTCAAGTATCAAAGATAATCATTGCATTCATAATTATTTTCTTTTTTTTCTGAACTATTTCTTTGAATAACCTTCTCATCCATAACACATTCGTTCAGTAAAATTTCATATTACACCTCTAAACTCGTGTTAATGAGGACATCATCTTAAAGTTACTACTTTTTGTCTTTAGGTATTTCATGGTGACGTTTCCTGCAGTGATAGAGTCTGGATCTGAGGCTACACTGTGTACGAGTTTTCTGAACCCTAAAGAAACTTCGCTAATGACTATTTATCGGGTTCACAACAACCAGAACAGAATAATTCTACAGGAGAGAGTGGAGGAAGAATTTCACCGCTGCTCTCAGTTTAAGGTCAGAAACCAAGATTATTTATCTTTTTTTTTGTTTGTTTTTTTTAGTGTTTGATATGTCTAAATGTGGAAAATAGCTCAATATATGATCTCAACAGGCTCCACAGGTTGAGGGTGAGTCAGTGCAGGAGATCAGGGTAGAGGTCAAAGGTGAAAGGTATCGGAGAACACAGAGAGGTAAAGTCATGTTTAAATCCTACAGCCCACTGACATTCATTCAGACTGATAAACCAATCTACAACCCTGGCCAAACAGGTAATTCATCATTTCTGCAACACAGTTTAATGGCAAAGTAATTATTACTGATCATACATCTCAGAACATGATATTTCTTTATTACTGTCCTTTCAAATAGTGAATTTCAGAGTTGTCAATATGGATAAAAAGTTTATCCCCCTTAAACAAGAGGTAAGAGCTTTTCTTTGACTGTAAAAGTAAACCAGCGTTAAAGAAATTGTCACGATTAAAAAAATCAATGAATTAAGAAATTCTGATGAAGACTGAATTTGGTTGACATATATATTAGAAAAATTACACCCAAGAAGCCTCTCCAGTGGCATTTTTATAAAAACCCATCTATCTGTTAAATCAACCATTTTTAGTTGTTGATGTGTTAAATGCTTTTAGAGGTTTTTATTATACTATGCAAAATGACATTTATTAATCAAAATGACACAAACATACTGTCCTATTCTCTTTTACAGTACAGCTTATTGGCTCTTGAGGTAAGGAGATGGAAGCACATCTTCATTTTAAAACTCTTAATAAATAAAGTCTGTAATCTTTTTTGTTTCTCCTAATACTGTCACTGCAATAAATCAAATTAAATATTTTCTTGGTTTTTTGGAACCAAACAGGATAATAAAGGTAACAGGATTGGTCTGTGGACAAATGTGTCCTCAACAGGCCTGATAGTGCAGCTTTCTCACAAACTGAATCCTGAGGCTCCTGAGGGCGAGTATAAACTGGAGGCTCACATTGGGGATAGAGAGACCAGACATTACTTTGAGGTGAAGAAGTACGGTAAGTGACAGCACTAGGACATTAGCTTTTCTGTTGGTAATAATCAGCACAGTTTACTGTAATAACAGATTCCATTTGTCTTTTAGTTTTACCCAGGTTTGAGGTTACAGTGAAAACACCAAAAGAACAGAATATTGGAGAGGAGGAACTGAAGATAGAGCTTTGTGCAAAGTGAGTCACTCTTTCAAGAGTAAACCACAAGCACTCAACATGAAAGCAGAAATATTAAGTTTTCATTCTTTGGGCCATCTTTAAATATAATCAATGGGATTTTAGTACAACCAAATGGAACATCTGTAATATCTGTATGTAAATTATGTAAATATGATACAAAGTTAATGCAATACAAATGACATTGCCTGCCTTTACCCTGTTCTTTATCTACTTAGTTCAAAGTTTGCTTATTTTTGAAGGTACACTTATGGACAGCCAGTACCTGGTAAAGCACTGGTGAAAGTGTGCGCTACACATCCTTATCAGGAGTATATCCCATTGATCTCACCATGCCTGGATGAAACAGTGCAGGTGTGTAAGTATGTGTTAAAGGGCTTACATAGACTAGTTGATGAAAATTAGTTGCCGTTGTGGGCAGCAATTGAGGACAGTGGTGGTAAAGACTGCAGTGAACGGAAAACAGAAACCAGTTTTTCTGCTAAACAAATCCCTAAGTGGAAATGCTGAATTCACATCAGAATTAAATACAATCCACTTTAAAATATAATGAATGCATAACTATATTGCTTTCCACTATGCAGTACTTTAAATGGATTTTCCTCATTGAAATGTGATCATAACAGACAAAACAGTGAAATACAATGCACACATGATATTACTTTTCCATAGATTACCTTTTTCATGTCACTTGACCTCTTTTTTGTACTTCAAATGTATTTTTTTCATTGAAATGCAACCTAAAATGCAATGCACACAAGATTGCATTTAAACAGTAACATGTAGAAAATACGCCAAAATGAAAAATAAAAGATCCATTACATTGATTTAACGTTGTTTTAAGTAGAGAACAGTGGAAAGCAATATACTCATGCGTTTATTACATTTCAGATTGTATTCAATTCCAACATGAATTCAGCATTTCATTTTACAATGCAAATCCTCACGTAATGTCTTGTGTGTATTGTGTTTCACGTTTTTCCACTGTAGTATTTTAGTTTTCAATCACTCTGTCTATCACTGAACCGTCTAGGTATAGGCCTAGACGGTTTAGCCTCTAGGCCTATACCTTTTTTGAGAGGCTTATTGGTAAGTAGAGATGGAACTGCATGCTACTAGCAATTAGCTAG